GTACAGAAAATCAGCAAAACTTATACTGTTAACAACTAAAATGATGTAAAAATGAATGCATACAATTCTATCAGAATCAAGGCTGAATAGTAACATGTAGAGGAAAATCCATGTCATATTGGTCCATGCAAATTACCCACTGCCAAGTATTTCACAATCCAATGTACTAGGGAACCACGAAGCACTATAACACCAGCATGACACCTAGTTTATATGCTTCTTCGAAGGAAAAGCAAATCCAAGCTACAATATGGTGTTGAATTCAACCAAACTTAAATTCTGCTATAGATCTAACTGATACTTCTTGATTGTGAATGCAGGTTTTCATAACATCATTTGATTTGTATTAAGAAGGTATATTAGCATGATGTGCCTGGTATAACAGGAAATGTAGCAGATGTATGTTTTTGTTCTTAATATTAATAAAAATTAATACTTGAAAAAAATCAATGCCTGGTTTAGTTTACTTCTGTGGAAAGTACCAAAGCACATCCAAGCACTTGGAATCTGGTCAAGAACATCCTGGGATGGACAGAATTAGTATAACGTGTCATACCAGATAAGGAAAGCATGTGGGACAGTACAGCCAAAACTGAGTAAATACCTAGAAAGTTATGTAGGAACATTATTAAATACATTCATTAAGCAGCAAATTGTAGTGACTGATAATTTGTGGGCAATCGTGAAACCTTGATATAAGAGCTTCTAATGTATTAAAAAGAAAGAGTAGAATAAAAATGCACTTTGTAATTTGTGTTTAACCTGGCACGTTTTCTACTGTTGGCCCGTTCTGGTCACCTGATAGTATGAATAAAAGCTACACAAAGTTTATCCTCAGTAGTTGCTGCCTGCTTTTTTGAACTGGGTTGCAGTGGGATCTGACTGGTCCTTGGAGGCAACAGCAATGAGAACTGTAGTTTTTAAGCAGTCTGTATGGGGCAAGATCAGAACTGGAGGATGTGGGTGGTAGTGCAAGAGGGTTAGCACAGCTCATGTTCTGTGATAATGGCTGCATGCTAGTTAGACAACGTATTGGGCACGTCTACCCATGTGCTTTAATGCACCTTAGGCTATATTAATGCACACTAAAGTGTCACAAAAAATGTGCTGTTTAGCTAATGCCCATTTAAATAGGCTAATGGACCTTTTTCTAGTACCTCACAATGGAGGCATTAAATTTAACGCACATCATCTAAAGCGCATTAACTGCACGTGATGCTACGTTGCCATACTGACATACTATAGCAACGTAGTGTCCACAAGTGTCTACACGTGACCAGCAGCTGCTTCACCATAGCAGCATGCTCCCCTGTTACAGTGTGCTGCTATGGTGAAGTAGCTGCTGAAAATAACCGTGCCGCCGCATGTATGGCGCAGTACGGGCAGTTACTGCACCATGCTTTAGTACTTTCAAAAGGAAGTACTAAAGCAGGGTGTAGTAACATCACCATAGGGCAACATGTAGACGCACCAATGTATAGGAGAATTTGGGAATATATGAACATATTGGCATTAGTAGGTATAAAAGTTATAACAGGTAGATATTTTCATGCTTCAGGCAGGAATGGATCACTTGGTTGAATTAGGAAAGCCATTCATTCCATATTCATGCTATTATATTTCACAAGTAGTGAGTTGAACTTACAATGAAGAATCAGCTCTCTGTGCCTCTCACACAACTAGTCCTATGTTCTGATCTCCCTGCTGACAAATTTATACCTCTTGACTATATGCTGATCTCTTCTTGGTCAAAGTAGAAGGCTGGATCAGAAGATAATCTAAGAGGCTAAAAATTAAATCAGATGCACCTGCATCTACAACCTACACTACCATCAAGGAAAGATGATGTGGGATGAGTTTCAGGTGATGGTTTGGATCCATTATTAATTGAACCAGTTTACCTACTGAGAGCATTTAAAGGCAGATGGGAGGAAACAAAAATTGGAAGGAAAACCAAGACAAAATAGTAGCAGAGCCCAGTATAAAATCCTCAGTGAACCATCTGATGAATTGAGCTTTATTGCACAAAAGCTTGTTACATTCTCTCTCTCTCTCTCACACACTCGCTCTCTCTCTGGTTAGTCTATAAGATGAGAATCTACCCTTCTTTCTACTTGATGTCAGACTAACACAGCTAGCTACATCTCTCAAGTGGACCCTAGGCATTAGATTTGCTTGTACTGCCACATGGAAGACTAGGGTTAAGTTCTAATTTGAACTTCTAGCTCTCAGGTCTGGAAGTGTTGTGGAAGCAGCTTGCTGGCCCAGATAGATCATAGAATCGTAGATAGAATGCTTTATGTCACTTTAGAGTTAATTATGTTGTTCAGGATTTACACCGTCTTCTACTATGGTTGGAAAAATTGTGCTTACAATATAGGACAAAATTGTATAGCTTGTATGAGTTCTTTGATTTCTGAGGCCATAGAATTAGCTGCCAAAACTACCTCTTACTGTAGAAGTGTTCTTCAGCATCTATACTTTCCTATCCTTAGTGGTTGTGAGTAACACAATGTCAGAGAATACTCTGTTCAGTGAAAACTTTGGGTTGAAAGGTTGGAAACACAGAATTGAAAGAAACCTCATGGTAATCTAGTCCAATTAGAGAGGAAGCCAATTTAGAATAATTATTTTCAGACTCTGGTCAATAAAGAGCAATAAGGATAAGAATGAAGAAGGCCAAAGTGAAAGACTATAAGTTGTGGCCTTGGGATTTGGAGAGCAGACTTGAATGGGGTACAAGTTACTGGGATCAGTGAAATGGCTGGATTAGAGGAAAAGGTGTTTGGCAGAGACCTGTTTCCCATTCCCCAGTCCTGCTATGAAGTCTAAGATCCATCTTTCTAGGTTTGCATGAGTCAAATGGCCTCAAAATGTGGTGTGCTTTGCTGTGCTTATAGTCCAGAGGGCAGAAGTGTAAGTAAGGAGGAAATATAACAAAATCACTATAACCAACTCCAAAGAAATCAGTTTAAACTACAGGAACTATTGCTGCCTTGACCCCATCACCCAAACCTTTGGCATTGTTAACCAAGATCTGGACAGTAAAGAAAATGTTACCCATCTTAAGAAAAATTACAAATAAAAAGTATTGAACACACAAATCAGAATGAGAGGGTAGGAGGTAATACAGAGTAGAGAGAGTAAATATGAGAAATAACTCTATGGTACAGAAACTTCTCTATAATTTATTAACATTAAAGGCAAGTGCTTGATAGACCATTATAACACTACACCCTAACAGTAATACGATTTGCACTTTTGTGATACTCATCTCAAAGTTTTATATGAACAACAACCACTTAATGATCGCTAAGGCATGGCAACTACAGCTACGCCATCTAACACTTTTTAGGATAGGAAGTAAAGAAAAATAGTGCAGGCTTCAAATTTTCAAGAAAAAAAAATGTAAGCAGGTATGGACTATGGTGAGAAACACCAGGAAACAGTGCTAGGCAAGCTATGGAAAAGGGAATTCATGCCCTGTCGTCTAACAAAAGATCATAGGTTGCATCCAGCATGAACATCTGATGTTGGGATTGTATGTGCTTTTCCTGCGATGACAGGTATCAAAATTTGGCCTGGCAAATTTCACCTGTGTAGGCATTTGCCTTTCCACACAGACTGGCTCCTGTCTCTCTGCCATGAGTAGTGCAACTCAGAAGGGAGGGCCCCTGCTCTCATTGTGGGGTCTGCTACCGAGAATCACTTTAAGTGTATACACAGATGCGAAAGCACATGCACGTATATTCAGGATAAACAATGATGAAAATTAGTGGCTGGCAACCCTCATTATTTCCACTCTTGAGAGGAGGATGTTGGGCAGCTGGAACATACACTGGGCCACATGGCAGGTTGGACCTGGTTTGGGGGTTCTCCTCTGGTTGGGAACCTATGGGCTGCTCCCAAGGTATCCGGCTGACAGAGGGAAGCGAGGCTGCCTGGGGCACCTTTCCCATCACCTGTAGCTGAGGATGAGGGACTCGATCTGGAACAGGCATGGAGAGGGGCACACTGGATGAACGGAGCACCAGGAGCTTGGGCTGGTCATGAGCCTAGCAAGAACAGAGGCCTGGAAGGAATTGGGGGTGTCTTAAATACAGGATGTTTATAAAGTCCTTGTGCAACTTTAAACTTTAATATCGTGCGTACTTTGGATGTACACACAATAGAAGCAAACTGTAAAGGGAGGTTGAAAGCATAATTCATTAAGTTGTAACACAATACAGCTCAACTTTCTAGACTACAACATAAACACCATATTTTGTGATACATTCCAATTTTCCAACTTGTAGAAAACATTTTTCAGTTGCTGCTGAGTGATTTCATGAATTATTTGTGATCCTTGCCCTACGCATAGCTTACGCTGTGCTAAAAAACTTAATGAATTATGCTTTCAGTTGCCATTTACAGTTTGCTTCTAGCATGCCTATATGCAAAGTTATTAAAGTTACACAAAGACTTGATAAACACCCTTTATATCAGGGTAGCTAAGGAGCAGGCTGAGGACTGACCTGGGTAGACTAAAGGGCGAAGATGAGGGCACAAGAGCACGTGGATCTATGCTGCTGCCCATGCACTCATTTATGCGGGAAATTACGGTGGACCCCTCCCCCTTCCTGCAAGCGCAGGAAGAAACACGCCGGGGGAAGCAGTGTAGGCGGGTCGTCCTCGCACTAGGAGACTAGGGTCAAGGACCCAGAAAGTTCGTTCCGCAGCTGTTGCTACGAGACCCTTAAATTACCCGCCCAGGCAGCTCCACCAATCCCGGCACGAACTCCTTCTGATTGCCAGTCACGGCAGCCAATGGCTGGAGAGGCGTGTGGCCAAGCACATGGGGGCACAAGGCCGTGGGCGTGGGGTGGTCGCGGTTCTTCCAATGAGAAGGGAGACGGCGTGAGCCGGTCGGCTCCGAGGCGGGACGGGGGCGGGGTGCCCGCCAGCCTCCCAATGGGAGGCGCGCGTGGGCTTGATGGGCGGGCACCGCAGCTAATAGGGAAGCGACGCTGCCGGGGAAAGGTCGGCGGCGAGGCGGACTGCCTTTAGTCGTTGCGTGGCCGACACCCCCGCAGCATGGCGACCCTAGCTTCGTTGCCCGCTGCCGGCCTCCTCTACTGGGTCGGGGCGCTGAGCGCCGCCTACGTCACCCTGCGGGCCGGCTACCGCCTGGTGGCCGGGCTCCGCGTCTGGGTGCTGGGCCGCCGCGCCCTGCCGGGCCCGGGGCTGGGCGCCTGGGCAGGTGAGTGCGGATCCGGGCCGTGCGGCCGGGGCTGCCCCCTGTGTGTGCGGGGGCCGGTTCGGTGACTTGAAGCCCTGCTGCTTCTCAATGCCAGGAGCAGGCTTCCCGAAGGCGGCAGGCGAGTCTTTCTAGGTGCATCCGGCATCTCTTCTTGGACCAGCTGAAATAGTTGGGAAAATTCTTCTTTGCAAGCTTTCGGGTGCGAACACCTTTCTGCAGGCGGAGGGCTGTGGGTGCTGTCTGCCCTGCCCTTCCCTCCCTAGGTCTCCAGAGGTCGCTTCTCTCCACGCCCCCGCGGGGCTTTGTCGTGTTCTAGGAGTAGAAGCACAAGGCCGGTTTCAGAGCCGTGTGCCTGTGTTGTCTTCTCCCAAAAGAGATTCCCCCCCAAGTAGTGAAAAGGAGGCTTGTGGCAAGGGTTTCTTTGGGTGGCGTGTTTTTGTTGTTCCTGCCACCAATATAGTTGGGGTGAAGTGAGACAAGGTGTTGGATGCAAGGCTTTCCTTTATCAGGTCTCAGATCGCAGGGGCCAGGGAGGTGAGCATATCGGTGCTTTGGGCAATGCTGGTCCCAGAGACCCTGATTCCCGCTTGAGCCCTCACTATGGCTTGTGGTATAACACACTTTAAGTCTTAACACTAGTTGCTTAAAATAATGCGTGTGCGCACACTCGGTTATTAGTTCCTAAGAAGCTTTTCCCTTTCTTGGTTTAAAGTACTGCTGTTGTGCACAGTATGGAAACCTTGAAAGCCAACTTCCTTGCTGTGCCTTTGTTTTCAGCTATGCATTTGTCTGTATTCAGTCAGGCCATTCGGGATGAAACCATCCATATTCAAAATAGTAGCTTTGTTTAGAACTAAATTGTTGAATGACAGTGTTATGGAGGACATGTGGAAATGTGCGCAGCTCTGCATTAGTTGAGTAGAACAAAATGTACTAATGGACACGTTGAAATAACTCAACAGAAAGATTTTATTTAAGTGCCTGTTTAGGCATATTGGATTTGTGTTTTTCAGTCTGGTTTATTTTAAATGCACTAGTATCACTACCTTTTAGTTACTTCTACTCTTGTTGAAGGAGGACAAGTTCCCTTTTTCCTTAAGGGTGTAAGGTACTACACCTTCCTCTGAAAGATCTAGCTGAAGCAGTTAATACACAGAATATGCTCTTGCATTCAGCTTCCGTGCAGAAATGATAAAACAAGCTATCTAGTACTTGGCAATGTGGCACATGGGCTGGATGATGGGGGTGCTGGGACCGGGTAGTGAGGAACTACCTCGAGGCAGGGCAGCTGAGAGCTGTGCCCATTCTGCTGCCATGTCTCCTGGATGGGGCTCCTGATTCCTGTGTGCAGGGCCAGGACAGGTGGTGCCAGGCCCCTAGGACCTGATCCTGGTGTGGTGGGGCGGGCTGGCCCTGCATCATTCATTTGGTCCGTGGGGCAGAAAGTTGAGCACCACTGGTCTAAATAATTTCTAACTTTTTTTTTTTTTTTGATTGATTGATGCTGAACATTGAGTTGATGGCTTTGGGGAACCAGGCACAATAATTCCAAAATCTTTCTCGAGTACTAACAGCCGTTATAGAGCACATTGTCATCTATATGTCTGCCAGGTTATTTTTTCCATGTATCTATCATTTGGCACTTGTTAACAGCATTTTGCTCACATGGATGTGGGGGGGGGGGGCATTCAGCCTACCATTGGGGCTTCTCAAGTGTTGACTTCTTTGGTTGGTTTGTTTTCTGTATCTGTGTTTTTGTTTGGGTTTTTTTTCCTTTATTGTTGCTGCATACACAGAGAAGT